TTTTGGAAGGCAGCTATTAACCAATATGACCTGTTCAGTCTACAATAAAAGAGCACAGACATCTTTTTTTTTTTTACACAAGAAAATTCCTTTTAGTAAGTAGCACAAAATAAACTTAAATGCACTCACAGAATGAGGTTTGTAAAGGATAGCTGAGGCAAATGATTAATTTATAATCTCTAGTTTCAAGGTCTGAGAAGTCCTGAGAAGTCATTTTAACTTACCCCAATGTTTACAGATCAGGAAACCAAGCTCCAGAAAGGTAACAGGGGTAACCCAGGGTCATACAGCTATTTGGTGATGACACCTGAGGTGGATTCCCTCACTTCTAGTTTAGTACTTCTCTTTTCTCCTATGTTAAGATTTGTTAATGTATTAATTTTATAAATAAAATGTGATCGGAATACATCAAAAAGAGAAATATGAGAGGACTGACATACTTCTATGTCCACTCACTTGCTCAGTGCTCAGCATACTGTAGTTGGTCAAACAGTCCACAAATATTTTTGAATGAACAGATGAACACCCCAGGCCTTTCCATCCACAACTACAATAGGCAAGTTTTAAATATTTCAAAGCACTAGTTAGACAATTCTTCTCTTAGGAGGAGCAGCAGAAACAGAAGGAAATTTGGAGAAGAAAAATAACATACAAACCAAGCTCATAAAAATGACCACACTTACTTATATGCAACATTCGATATACAAGCTAATACAAAAAAGAATAAAGTCCTTGAATAGCTATTTCTCCAAAGGACATTTACAAGTGGCCAAGAAGCACATGGAAAAGATAATTGACATTAGCATTCATTAGAGAAATGAAAATCAAAAACAACGATGAGATACCATTTAACACCCACACCCACTAGGATGTCAATTTAAAGAAAAAACAAAAACCACACACACACAAGAACAAGTGTTGGCAAGGATATAGGAAAACTGGAATTCTCATATGTTGCCAGTGGGAATGTATGTAACATGGTGCCCCTACCATGGGTAAGTCTGGTGATTCCTCAATAGATTAAACACAGAATTACTACATGACTCAGGAATTCTACTCTCAGGTATGGATCCAAAAGAACTGAAAACAAATACTCAAAAAACTTATACACAAGTATTCATAAAATACAACTCAATAATCAAAAGGTGGAAACAAATGTCCATGAACTAATGGATAAACAAATTGTGGTATATCCATACAAAGAAATATTATTCAGCCATTAAAAAGGAACAGCTTATATGGTACAACATGAGTAAAATCTTCAAAGTATTGTTAAGGGAAAAGGTTCACATATTGTGTTTTCACATTTATATGAAACATGGAGAACAGACAAGTCTACAGAGACCAAAAGTAGATTAGAGGTTGCCAGGAGCCAGGGTGAGGGGAAATGGGAAGTGACTGCTTACTGAGTTTCCATATGGGGTCATAAAAAAGTCGTGGTACTGACTAGTGGTGTTGGCTGCACAACATTGTGAAGGTATTTTTTTACATTTTAAATACATACAGTTTATTGAATGTCAATTACAACTCAGTAGAACTATTTAAAAGAAAATAAAATAGGATAGGAAAAGATGCATTAAGCAAATATTCACAACAGCAACAATGAAACTATCATATCGACTATATTACCTATCTAAAATAGACTTTAAGATAAAATCTGTATTTTATCTTAGTAAAAGTAACTGTAATGATAAAAGTCCAACCCTACCGCTGTTGTATATTTAACAATATAAACTTATAAATGTGTATTGTTGGACATAAAAAAAATATGAAATTTCAGTACAAATTTGTACCAAATTTTAGTACAAATAGAATATTTTTAACTCAAAATACAAGATATTGACAAATCCCCCATTGTAGTGAGATCTTTCAATTATTGGCATCAAGTAGACACAAAATTAATGAGGAATAATGCCATCCAAAAGGGTCATTTAGTCATTAGATGTATACCACTACTGAAAGAAAACACATTTTTCTCAAGTACATATAATGTAAATGTACTTATTTAAAATGATAAACAGTGTTCTATGTATTTTATGGCAATAACAAAATGAGAATCAAGTTTTCACAGTACTAGTACCTCTGGAAATGTCCAGTCTGAAGACATGCAGTCATCAAGAGCAAACACATCATGTTCAAGAAAGCAGAACATTTAGCCCTCCGCACCACATTCTCACCAATCCTGACTGCAGGTTATAAACCCAGCACCTATTTCTTAAAAAAGGTCTCAATATTAGTGCTCAAGGTCTAGAAGAGTCTAGAAGCAAGAGGCCTGCATGATTAAAAGGTACAGGTTCACTGTGTTGATTCCACAAGACTGACCCTGCTAGCACAGAGGGCAGAGTCAATGTCGACAGAGGCTTCTCTGCCATGGCCTGCAGATGCACCCAAAGATTTCAGAGGTGAGTGATGCAGCCTATCAGCCTATCAGAGACAAAGTTTAATAGGAGTTGGAGTTTTATTACAGTTGCCAACAGCATCCTCCTTAGAGCACACAGGCAGCTAAGAAGCCACAAGTCCTACCAGCAGAAAGGGCAAAGGCAGCCTAAGTGAAATGTTGCTCTTTACCACTAAAGAAAAGAGTTCAAGTTCAGGGATGCTCCTAGGATTGCCTGGTTCCTACCCCAGAAGGCTGTCCAGCCACTGGCGGCTGTCCCACAGCCATGTAGATAAGACACACTTGAACCTTTTGTTCCAGAGGATCCTTGTTCTCAGCTCAGCTCCACCCAACCCTTCACCTCTCTTCCTTCAGGTTTCAAAGCTCCACTTGACTCTTGTAGTTATTCGAGATGATCTTTAGAATCGACACAGGGTGTCAACTATAGGCTCCTTAGGTGTCTGAGAACCTTGGAACCTGGGCCAGGTGTATCTTCAGCTCCTGATGCAGGCTTACTTGATCCGGTTTTAATCAGTTTGGGCCATATGGCTGTCAACCAGATACGCGTGTATGCCCAACAATGAGCTCAGTGCTTGGCACAGTGTTGGCGGTCAGTCTGCAAAGATTGCTGAATAGATGAACATGCCAGGCCTGTAACGAGGGGGCATTGTGGAGTGTAACAGACTCAGTGTCTTAAAAGGGATTCTCCTCTTTCCAGCCTTCTCCAAATGATCACTCTTAATTTTGACTTTCTGATATCCAGTAATGGAGAAAATGTGTTATGTGTAAATTAGCAGCAACTATATATATATATTTTAAAAGTTCACTTGAAGTGCTGTTACCAAGGAATATATCCAGTCACTTCAAAATGGTTCTTACTGGTCTGGGCAAGAAATTACACAGGATTCCATACATATACTGTCAAGTTTGGCAAGAAAGATTTTAGACAACTTCCATCCTTCCCACCCAACCCCAAGTAAATAGGGCATTTGTTTGTATTCCCACATTGGCCTCCTGAAGGAAAATACCTCCTCCACCTAGAAAAACAATCTGTAACATTCAGACATGAAGCTTTGAGGCAAGCTTTTTAGTGCAAGCTAAATCTTATGTACTGCTTTGAAAAAAATAATAAAGGAGAAATTTTTTTAAAATAAAAATTTCTCCTCAGCATTTCCCTTACATTTACACTTATATCTGACTGAGTGTTTCTATACCTTACAGAAACGCAGATTTTTAAAAAAGTTCTCCATTAACATACAGCCTGAATGTTTTACTTCGTTTGGGAAGAGATGGGGAAGACACAAGAATAATTTTCCTTTGCTCCCTTTAAATTTTCTGCCCTACACAACTAGGTCCTGGCAAAGAGTTAAAAGTTTTTTGAGGTTAGTTCCTGCGGTTTTTTTTTTTTTTTTTAAATCTAGATGCTTAAATTTAGACACGGTAAAACAATACTGAGAAGCTTTCAAAGCCTTGGAGAAATACTGGCGTTTAGTTTATTCTTTTGTTAAAATACCACCACATCTGCCACATTTTCTTCTCTTATTTAATCCGTCCTGCCCGGGCCCACCTTCACCTCCTCCACTGCCGCGTGATTCAGTTACCTGTTGGGGTTCGAGGGTTAAGGAACGGTGGTAAGGACACAAATCGAGTGGTCCTTTTGCGCAAGACCCAAGTTTAACAGGTGGCTTTGGCCATCGCCAGGCAATTTTAGACTCCCACCCTCCTCCCCAGGTGCCAGTGCCCGGGAATTCCGGGGCCGCGGCAGCAGGTCGGGCCCCGAGACCCAACAGTGAGGATAGGGTTGGGGGCCAGGGGCAGCTGACCCCAAACCAGACACTGTCACTGACCACCGTGCGCTCCCACAATAGGGTAACCTCGGAATCGCAAATCTTCCCAACAGAGGGGGCACGCGAACCCCTAAAATTCCAAAGGAGGCTCTCGGTTTTCCAGGTAAGGCCACCAGGTTGCCCGCACTTCGCGACGACCGCCCCGGGCATTGCGCTCGCCCTTCCGAACTTTCAGGAGGGGCGCGGGCCGGCGAGGTCGGGGTGAGCGAGCGCGCTCCAGGAGGCGTGGGAAGTGCAGGCAGCAGGGTTATGCGAAAGGGGAATCTCCCTTCTTCGCCCGAAACCCACCCGAGCCCAAGCCCCCCTCATCAGACCCCAAACACCACCCGACTCCCCGACGTGCCAGGCGAGGGAAGCAGCTGCCAGGGCGCCCGCGCGCCGCTCTAAGCCCTTCGCGGATCGGAATCGAAAGCGCGCACTCACCTGGCAGGAGCCCCCTCCCCGGGGATCGCAGGTGCCCGCGCAGGTCGCCGCCCGGAGCCCTCAGCTCGCCACCCGGAGCCCTCGCGGCTCAGCCCGCGCGCGCCTGCCGGACAGTGCCGGACCGCCCCGCCGCGCCCGCTCCTGCGCGCTCCCCCTCGCGCGCTTCCACCCAACCCCACCCCCGCCCGGGGCTCGGCCCCTCCAAACCCGACCGAGCGCCCCGGGCGTTTAAAGCGACAGGCCCGGGTGCTGGAGCTGCCGCGTGGCCGCCTGCCAATGGGGGTCCTCCGTCTCGGGTTGAACTTTGGACCGGGACCCCTGTGGGTGAAAGCCCATCCCTACCCCCGACTTACATTCGCGGAGAAAAGCTTTAGGGATTGGCGTTTGCAGCTCGGAACGAGACGGGACTCTTCCCAGCCTGCTGTGGTCAGTTCTGGGAGGTGGTGTTGTGTTTGACCATAGTCTTAACTTCTATGTATGGAATGCTTGCTACTTTCAGGCCTGCATTTAACACATACTGTGGCCTTTAACCCTAGAATAAGTCTCTGATTTCTTATGCCCATTTCACAGAAGAGGAAAATTGGGGCTCAGAGAGTTGAAGAATCTTCCAGAGTTCTTGACCCCATTACATGTAGTATTTTCTTCTTTATCATTGTGGAACCGAGGCTAATAGCTGGTTGGGAAAGTTGTGTAAGTTGGTGGTTACTGTCACCAGCGTTTCATGGGATGGAACAGCTCTCTAAGGAGGAAGAAAGCAAGAGTTATGAGGTTTTATTAATTGTGGGGTTTGTTATGGGCTCGAATGCTGGACATCAGAGAATGTGTACTCCAAATACTGTTCGTGTTTATCCCCATTTTACAGAAAACTAAGGAAGGAAGTGGTTGGTTGTGCAGAATGACTGAGTCACTGCAGTGCTTAGGGTTGAGCCCCAATTCCTTACTCCTTAGATCATTTCTTTGCCTTTCGAAGCAAGAGATACCTGATTAAAGGGAAGAAAACTTTTTCACTAATAACACATTGGCCTCATCTAACTCCCTGCATCTTTAATTAATGTTTACAAAGCACTTTACCCAACATGCTAGTTAATTAGGCAAGTACTATTATCCTCTTTCTGAATCAAATCCAGAAGAGGATTAATTCTATTAGTCCTTAATCCTTGATGGATAATAGACCTCAGCTTTCTGTTTATGTTCTTTTTTTTCCCTTTAAAATTTAGTTCTATGTTATGTTAAATACTAATGTATCATGGAAATAAGAGAAATGATTAGTGGAAAAAGAGAGATCAAAATTATTATCATTACTGGTAAAAGATGTGATTATGATCTTTAAACGCCTAAAGAATTGAAAAATGGAATAACTGAATTCAAGAAAGAAGCCAAATATCAATAGAACTATACCAAAAAATAGCTTTCTTATTTATCATCAATAACCACTAAAAATATAAAGTTGTGGGGAAAAGTCTGTTCACAATCATTTGCTCTCTCTCTCTCTCGGAAAACAAGAAATGACTTCAAGGGGGAATTTAAAGATAGTTCTTCATGATTTAAATAATGTCAAGGGAGAAAAAAGGAACAAAGAAACACCTGGAGGGCCTTTTTAATGATATACTTTAAAACCCATGAAATATACAAAAACTTCTTTATATTCACTTGACTTTTTAAATAAATATCTTCTGAGATTGGACTTTGCTAAGAAAATATTGGTAATAATGACCCTCAAATATTAGACAAGTATTCCTGTGAGCTTTGCGTAAACTGAAAATTTTTAAGTAAACCCAAAGAATTAAGCCAAACATGTTTTTATTTTATAGTATAGAATGGACTTGAGCAACGGTGGTATCTGTGATGGCCACTAGAGGGAGGCAAACAGGAAGAAAGAAAGTCAATTTCATGAATTTTCCTTGCTAAAAAATTGCAACATTTTAGAGCTGAAAGGGGAGATGGCAAAAGACATGATTCTTCCGCTTAGAAGATGTGCTGCCTTGGGGTGTTTATTCTTTTGATTCTCAGTTTCTCATTTATTCAATGAGGCTAATGACACCTAAATTATGAAGCTAAAATTATAGCTTACCTGAGCAACAACAGATGAAAAGAGTTAAGAAAATTATGAAAGTGAAGAAAAATATGGGAAATTTCTCCATTTATTATGTAAGCATAGTGTAGGGTTATAGTACCTAGAGTATCGGAATAATAATGGATATTGAATGATATAGATAATAGAATGGAATAGATAACCCAGGAAAAGCTAGAGTTGATATAGTGTAGGTTTTAATATGTGATATAGGAGTTATCTATAATAAATTAAAAAGGGATAAATCTCAATAAATGGGGCTGAGAAAACCAGTAATTTCAAAAGAAAATCAAGGCTTTTCATTATGTGCTAAAAAAAAAAAAAATTCAGCTCTGTTGAAGAATTTAAAATGTGGCAAACTTCCAGCTGCCCCACTTTGGGTGGGGATCCTATTTGGCTGGGCAATACCCATGAGGGGATGTGTAACTTTTGAAGTTTTATTGGGAAACTATTACTTGATATCCTCTTTTCTTTCTCTCTATCATACCGATTCTATCAAAAATCTTTCACCTTGAGTCTGCTTCCTTTGTCTTTGGCATGTAGATCGCAAGACCCCTCTTAATAGTTTGGGGTCCCCTGCAAGCTAGCAATACTATAGAATCACATAAACAGAGCCAGAAAGAGTAACAGTCATACTTTTGATATTTTTCCTTCTAGTTTTCTCATATACACTATAATAGTACTATAGATTTTCCACATTTTCTGCTTTGATTCTTTTTTATAAATCAACACACAAATATTATTTTTATGTGTGCTAATAAATGCCAATGGGCATAGCATAGAGTCTGGCCTCTATCAAACATTCAATAAATATTTGACAAAGAATGGAAGGAAAGAAAGAAGGGAAGGAGATTGATACTCTTTGAGGATGACTTACTGGTGAAATTTCTTGATTGAAAAAATAATTGAGTGGGTAAATTAGATTAAAGAGGTTAATTGTATGGTGAGAGACAGAATTGCACTTTAGTGGTAAACTTAATATAATATAGACAGATGTTGATTTATTATGATACACCTGAAACTGCTATAATATTATAAAGCAAATTACTTCTATTTAAAAATTATAAAAAAGGAAAAAAAGAAGAAAGCCATAGGTTGAAAAAAGAGAGAATTATTCTACTTCTACTGTAATTGAAGAAAGTACAACCTGGAGATTTTTGTTGACAAGTTTAGAGAAAAGTGATAAAGGGCAATAATAAAATGGCATTATGTTTCTTGAAATCAAGTAGGTGAAATGCTTCCTTTTCTGTATTCCAGGTCAGCATTTTGCAGGAGAAAAATATATGGAAGAAACAAATATGGAAGCAAATGATAAGTAAGTTATAACTAAAATTGGTAAGACTTCTGAAAGAGAAATAAGACTCAAAAAAAAAAAAAAATCCCTGGTGAAAAACAAGTGCTGCTGACATAAGTTTTAGGACCTGCCAAGTGACTGGGGCCCAAGCAGGAAGAGATTGTGAGGCACTCATTCATTCCTCATTCACACATCATTTGTGGTCTCTTATGTGCCAAGTGTTACTGTGAGTCAGGCCTGGGAGATACAACAGTGAGCCGCACAGATAAGTTTCCTGTCTACGTGGAATTCCTAATTCAGAAGGGGTGGAAAATAGACCAGAATCAGATGACCATCTGGTCCATCACTAGCAATCTCTTAACGAACAGAGAATATAAGTGATTCCATAAATAAAAGCAGCAGTGAAATGAACCACATTCCCCCCAGAGATAAGCCCGAGATAAAATTGGTGTTTAAAATTTGGCTGAGGGCAACTTGTTTTGCTTCTGCTGATCTCTGGCTAGTTTTATTTCACCGATGAGTATGTGAAGCTGATGGGGTTTTAGAAATGGCTTGGGGAGTGTCGGGCTGAGGCAGCTGCAGAGGGAAAGAGAAACTTCTATAGGTGAGCCTTAGGAAGTTTCCTGTGCCCTCCCCATCTTGCCACGAAACCATCACTAACACCTCTTCCTCCAGAGTGCCTTTGGGGGAACTTTGTTTTCAGGGGAGTTGAATAAGGGCTGAAACTGGCCCCAGAGGAGTGTCAGGGGACACAGTGTGAACCTGTCCAGTGTGTGAGAGGCAGATCAGCTACCACATGTGGAAGGAGAGATGAGCATGGTGAGTGGGAGCTTAACATCTGTAGTTTGTATCACCTTTCCATGAGGTTTAATACTTGTACACCTGCATCAGTTAAACTGCTTTTTTATACCAGGGTTCCAGTTTCCCCACATCCTTCCCAACACAGCTCCTTTGTGCTGTTGTTGTTTCATAATTAGAACTGGATATTAAATTCAAAAGTGGATCTGGTCCAACAACCAAAAATATAGGAAAATTATTAAACATGGCCAGTGATCACTAATGTATGGGCTGCTCTGTGGAAAATGGGGATCCGATAGGGAAGAGCTGGGGTAGAAACTGGCAGCAGTGAAACTGACTCATGCCTATGCCCCAATGTGCCAAGAATCCTGAATAAGTTGATAACAGGACTCATTCTAACTTAGACAACAATTCACATAAGAGTGTAGCAGGCCACATATAAGTATTGTCTTCACCATTTGCCTCAATTCATTTTTATTTTTTTAGGTTTATTTATTTTTATACAAGAGTTGGGGTACAGGCCAGAGATGCGGGGGTGGGAGTGGAGAGGATTCACCAGAGACAGAGTGGGGAGCAGAACAGGCAGATTGACTGAAATACACTGCAGAGGGAAGCAGCGGGGTAGACAGGAGAGGTCTGCCGCTGACAGGAGAGGTTTGTGGGAATCTCCCTGGCTGGCCAGGAATTGAACCTGTGCTGCAGAGGCTGCTGACAGCTCCACAGTGCTGTGCTCAACCTGCTGCACCACTGGGGAGGCCCTCAATTCATTTCTTAAATATTTCTTGCTGTTTCTCTTTTCACCCCTGGTCCAAAGCAGTGTTCTCTGAGTTCTGATCCTAGCTTGTAGTCCTCTGACAGTTTGGATCAACCATTACATAGAAGTGTTTTCCCCAAAGTTGAGTCTTGGGTCCAGGGTTCATACAGCTGTCCATGGGCAAAGGTGCTTATCACCCTGACCTCAAATGTTACTTCTATGATGAAGGCCTGAAAACCTGCACCTCTGGACTTTATTCATTTCATTTAGCAAACTGAAGCACCTGCTCTGACTTGTTTTAAACTGTCTGCTGAGGGCCTCCCCAGTGGCGCAGTGGTTGAGCGCTGGGTTGTGAAGCTGCCCGCAGCCTCTGCGGTGCCGGTTCGATCCCCAGCTGCTCCCCGGCCACCGAAGGAGGGTCCCGCATGGCACGCAGACCTCTCCTGCCACCTGCTGCTCCCCTCAGCAGTGTACTTCGGTCCTTCTGCCTGCTCTGCTCCCCACTCTGGCTTTGGTGAATTCTCTCACCCTCCTGCGCTTCTGACTGTAC